ATGTAAGGAGGTTTTTCAAAAACTTCTGAATTTTTAGTTTTTCTTGTGTTCTAGGAATCTCTGCTTCATCCACAGTTGTTGCTGCCTTCGCCTGGAGTTATAGAACCTCGGTAATACAGGGATTTATATTTTCTACAATACTCATTCCTTAAATTTTGAGTAAAATATATATTTTAAGTAGTTCAGAAACTGTTGCATAGAATCTTTGGGGGTTTTTTATCTGCACTGCATTTGGGGAAATAAATGATTTTTAAATAAACGCCTGAAAAGGGAGAAATAATATTTTTATATTTGTGAATTTTTTTTTGTTTTATAAATTTTTATTTTAGATCTCCAATTCTCAAAATAGAATCGGACAAAGGGACAAACTTTTCACCTGTTCCCCCCCTTCTTGAAGTTCCTGGAACTCCTGGAACAGTTCACCTGGGTCCTGGAGTACTTCACAACATTCCTGGAGTTGAAATGCGCGAAAATCTCGCAATCTAATTTAGTTCCTATTTTGCCCGCTAGAGCTACAGGAGGCGCTGTAAGCTCATCTCTACAGAAAAATCCGTTCTTTTCTAGCCAAGATGTTCGTCTTTCCACGGAAGTTACCGCTGCGCAAGATGGCGATAATTTTTATGTTTCTTTCGCGGGAGGAAAAGGGAAAAAGTTTCTAGAGAAAAAGAGAAATAACAGTTATTAGAAATAAATTGGGAGTATAAGATGTTGGGTTTGCATATCAATTCGGGATTATCATCTAGCTCCAGTTCTGATCAAAAGGACTACAATGGGATTATGTTATAAGCACCTTGGAGATCGCACAATATAAATTTGTTTTAGAAAAGATCTAAAAACTTTTTTTTCCTTTTCCCTGACACGAAATTTAGTCTAAGAAATGTTATAGGGAAATTAGTTGAAATTTTTAACCTAAGAAATTTTACAGGGAATATGAAATTTGAAATTCTTCAAGAGTTTGTCACTTTTGAAAATCTCATCTTTTTATTGTTTTATATCAAGAATTTTTTATAAATAGTATTCTCTTAAATTAAGTCAATGAGGAAAGACCGAATTGCCAAATAATTTGTGTGATTTATGCCATGTATTAATGTGAACCCATTTTGCCATTTATTATATTTATTCTCTAAAAAAATGCATTATAATCTATTTTTGACAACCTAACAGTTGAGAAACTTTTTTTTACAGTTTATGAGTTTGTTTATCTTAAACACAAATACAAATATGTCAAAACTGTACAATTTTTTATATTCTTGTTTTCGTCTAAGTTGATTTGATTTGATATAATTATTAAGATCTGAAAGTTTCCATAATCTTATCGCTTGTACTATACTAAACGTAGAGGCAAAAGAACTTATCATTATTAATCTATATTATTAGATTACTTAAGATGGAGAATGAAATCCTTGTAATGTCAGAAAAACGAGCTTCCATCACTGTTAGGCTCCATACACAACACATCCCAGTGCAATATATTAATTAACAATGGATTAAAAACCAAATAAAGCTGTGTATAGTGAGCGGGGGAAGGCAGGCGGCCATGAGCCACCACTATTTCCCCTTCCGTACCACCACATTTAACTCTTCCAGGCAAAACTACTATTTTAAATGGTATACTTAGGGCCTTTAAAGTGTGATTTTAAAAAATCCAGCCGCGTCACTCAAAAAAGCACAACTCAAACCATTTTTTCAACTCTATTATGATTAATATTTTGTGTGTTGAATTCTAAAACTGTTTTACAATGAAATTGTTGACAAATTTGACTGAGTATTGCATCTTGAAATTTCACAAAGTTGGTTAATGAGTGATTTTAAGATGGATTTAGTATAATGAGTCAGTAATTGAATAATCATTAGACTTTGTGATATTTCAAGATGCAATACTCAGTCAAATTTGTTAAAAATTTCATTATAAAACAGTTTTAAGAATTCAACACACAAAATATTAATCTTAAGTAGAATTGAAAAAATGGTTTGAGTTGAGCTTTTTTGAGTGACGCGGCTGGATTTTTTTAAATCAGACTTTAAAGGCCCTAAATATACCATTTAAAAAAGTAGTTTTGCCCGAAAGAGTCAAATGCGGTGGTACGAAGGCGAAATAGTGGTGGCTCATGGCCGCCGGAAGAGAAAAAAGCTAATATGTGGCACGGAAGGGGAAATGGTGGTGGCTCATGGCCGCCTGCCTTCCCCCGCTCATAGTAGAGCTCAAATGAACTACTCAATTAATGTACACCTCGATAATTAGCAATGATAATTAAGTTGCTGATTAACTGCTTAATAAATTAGTTGTAATCCGTTTTTCTTTAATTATTGAGCTGTTTAATTAATGAGTTGCTTAAATAATGAGCTGTTGCTGCAATCCATGCCATTGATATCATAAGTAAGTGCAGTATTCCACGCTTTAAAGGGAGTGTTCGTTCTTTTCAGAAAGGGGAAAAGGACTAATTTCGAATCTATTTTTGTTCTCAATTCCATTTTATATAGAGTATCTAAGGAAAACTGTTTGTAGCGGCCCAGCTAGGCTATTGGAGGGTTTCTTAAATACTTGAAACAAATATCAGATTGCAATATACCATTCCACTTGATTTAGAGTCTGTCCAAATTATTTTGAATTTCGTCGGCACTCCCTTAAATGTATAGTGCTGAGTTTGATCTTTTATTCCAAGTTTGGAACTTCCAGTTAGTTTTAGTTTAATTGTCTATGTAAAAGTCGGCTAATTTGTGCCAAATTAGATATTCATTTCATTGTAGCTTTTAGATTTTCTCTGGGAAAGAATTCTTTTAATTTCGAAATTTCTAAATGTATAATCTTTCAATGGAATTATTGAGATTTTTTGCTTTAAAGAAAGTGGAGAAAAAGGAGAAACCAGATCGAGTTATATTCTCTATACTTTAATTGGGGGCATTTTTTTAATTAAGGGCAAATAGGGGCAAAGGTGTCAGTGGAGTTTGAAAATGTATTAATTGGGACCTCGGAAGAAGTTTACTTGAAGTACGAGAGTCTAAATTCATGATTTTATGACTGAACTCAGAGGAATGAACAGAAAATAGTTAATTGTAAACTGTAATTCAGTATCAAGTGAATATTTGCAAATTATCTTTTTTCCATCTCAAAATCTGAGTTTGTTTCCCTTATGTCCATTTGACAGCCGAAATTTTTATTTGAATAATCTTTTTTGTTTGTTTATTTTCTTGTGATTTTTCACAAAAAATTTAAAATTTTTTTATCGTTTTGATGGTAATTATATCATTAGAACTGACGAGGGTCAACCCAGACCGAAATATATTTTCAATAAATGTGGAACTAACATCTACATTTTTACTCTACAGAGGTTTGGTCCATCACCATCAACGAGTTTTAAATTTTTTGAAACAGTACGACTTTCAACTTTAAATGTTTCAATGTAAAGTTCACAGTAGTTCAATGGAATTTCAATGTATGTTAAAATTTTGTACAATTATAACGCTGTTGTGAAAACTTTTTGGGGTTGTAAAGTTCTCAATAATTACGCTGTACTGTACTTTACTCTGTACTGCACTGTGCTGTACCGTACTGTAGTTTTTACAATTAAGTATTATGTTTATGAAGAACCTGTTCTGTTTCCTCTGTCAATTCATCCGGTGTTGCTAAGAATCATAAACTTATTGTGAAAAGGAAACTAAATTTATTAAATATTTTTCGGATTTTTAATTCTTTAACCACCCAATGTAAACCAGCTCACTTAAAAAAACTAATTCTTTTCAAAAAAGATTTAAAGAAGAATAATAATTGTTAAATCATGTACCCCTCCTAGAGTTTCTGAGCTGGGAACTTTAGAATGGTGGATGTCAGGATTAATGCTTAATCCTCTGTTTTTGCTTATCTCAAGACTAACATAATCTCGAGATTAAATAGTTAGATCAACAAATTGGATTCTAAGAATGCCAGATTGGTTCGATTTCCTGACTGTAAGGGCCCTCACATAATTTATCATCCATTTATTTATTAATACATTAGTTAAAATTGGTTACAAAAGAATCTCAAACGTATTATTAAATATTTTTCTTCACCGATTAATTTTCAAAATGGCCGACAACAAATTCTTTTTTTTGTTAGAAATTTCGGATTTCTCTCATGGGAAAGAATTTATTTTCAAGGCTGTCATTGGTCAATACAATTTACGAACTATATTCCTGCACTCTCATTGGAGAAAAGAATGTTGTTGTCGGATAGGAACAAGATTCTCAATAATGAACAGATAGACAACGGAATAACCCTCAAATCAAAACCGATAATGCAGAAAACTCTTTATTTCCTAAAAAAAATGAAATGTATAATGATAAATAATTATTACAATGGTTAACGAATTTTATAATAAAAAGATTCTTACGATCTATTTAAGTATCTGTAGGTTAAAACCGTCGGGGAGTCCTAAGACGTCTTTTTATACATTAAAACTTCTGAACAGAATGACTATTAAATGTTAACGAAAGTCACTAATTCTTTATATGAAATATTCTTTGCTTAACTTNATTAGATTAGATTAGATCAAAACCAAACTTAACTACAAAACTTATCAAATTAAAAAACGTATCCAACTCAAAACTTATCAATAAAATTCATGAATCTAAAATTTCAAATCATGGAAATGTTCCAACATTTTTTTAAAAATCCGCGAATTTTCAAGAGAAAATTTGATGAACTCTCAGTTTCCCGGCCCCTTTCTCCGAGAAAGGCAACAATTATTTTTAGTATTTTGATTAGTCGCTCTTAAGATCTTGTTAATGGGAGTGTTCGCGAAAATAATTGGATTGTATTTTCCTAAACTGGAATAGATATAAACCTAAGGGATTGTTCACAATTCTAATTAAGTATTCTTTAAATAAAAGTTTTGCAGTCATAAACTTTTTTGTGAACACTTCGTTAATTATCTTTAGTTTACAATTTGTAATTGTATAACCTCTTGTTTAAACAATATATAATGATAGATTGTATCTAATATTTTATATTTTACCATGGTTTCAGATAATATTTGACAAGTTACAGTATATATAGATTGTTTAACCTCTTGTTCAAACAATATATAATGATAGATTGTAGTTAACATTTTACATTTTACCATGGTTTCAGATAATATTTGACATGTTACAGTTTATATAGACAATGCAGTAAATTGTTCCTAATTCACCAAAACAGGTAAAATCAGGTACAAAAGCATCGTAATTTTGCGTCGTAGTNAATAAACACCAAATAAAATTTTTAAAATCTCGACGTCCGGGAGCAGAAGAGATATTTAATAATCATTGGAATTTATTAGAATTCATCTAGAGATAGTCAATTTCGAACAGGGTTCTGCTAACAACCTGGGTTCGAATGGGATATTGCGGGGTTCATGGCCACATGCCCCCCCCCTTCCTCATTATGCTATTTCAAGTAAATTTAAGTTAATAATTGACTTGGAAAAGGCGTTTGACTCCTCGGTTTTTCACGGCTATGGTTTGACCTTTTCTTCGAATTATAATATTTACGCTATTTAATAAAACTGTCAATTTGATTTAAAGGGACCCTATTTTTATAGAGTGGCATGTCCGATTCACACTGATTCTCTTTAAACATTAGTCTGCAAAAAAAGTGTATCTTTTTATCTGAAAATTAATATTTCTCAATTTCAATTGCAAAGTTGACTTGCGGAATTATACAGCACAGACAGCTTTCTTGAAAAGGGCGTGTGCGCAACATTTTTTTTTTAAAATGAGTGTTCGCGAATAACTGGAGAGTTAAATTCACACTCTTCTTTTAATCTTCATGTGTCAAGAATGTAGAATGTGGATGTTTGACAGATTAAGAAGTTCAAATCGATTTGAATTATCTGCAGTACAAAACACTGTTAATGTCAATAATGAATATGTGTACTGTACAGTAAAGTACAGTATACTGCAGTGCTCAGGATCCATTTAATTTTGATGCGGATCCGGATCCGGATCCTGGATCCGCACACGAAAAAAATAATTTTCAATTTTTTGTTATATTTTTTTCGCTTATTTTTATTCTAAAACTTGATGAACAATTCAGAAATGAGGAAATTTTTAAAATCTTCTTTTTTTCAAAAGTTCAGAGTTGGGTTTTAGGAGTAAAAAAAGTTGCTTTTGCAGTTTTTGGTTGATATTTTACCCCTTGGATCCGGATCCGTGGATCCGCATATTTTTGCGGATCTGGATCTGCATCCAGGGAGCCAAAATCTTGCGGATCCGACAGATCCGGATACGGATCCTAAGCACTGCTATACTGTTAACTTAGACGATACAGTATACAAAGGTCAATAACGAATTTATTGCAGTACACTGTACAGTTTACAGTGTCCTCATGTAAATATTGAATGTTTTCCCAGAGTTCTTAACTCTCATGTAGAACATCTTTGAACTAAAACACTTGAACTCGATTTCCAATTTGACACTTTTAAATTTGATTTTAGATTTAGAATTGTAATCTTCTGTTTTTTTACGAAGGTTGGGGGGAATTGAATACTATTGTGACCTTACTAGTATAGTATAGTCAGTATTTAATTCTTCTTTTTTATACTCCTTTTTTTTGCAAATCTGACATAGAAGGCACTGAACATTCCGCATTTCTCAACAGCTGTATTTATTGTTCTCTAGGTTTTGACTTCAAAATACAGCTCGGAGACAGATAGAGAATCTTACTTTGGTTTTCTGGTTCCTACCAGGTTCTATTGATTTATATATTTATGTGATTATCTGTATTTTCCAGAAGCAATTCTAAGTTGAAGCATTTTTAGAATTATATGGATAAATTGTATTCATACATATTTATTTTAAGAACACAATATTGCAATTTTTCCATCTCTCTTTCATTTTCCATCTTGATCAAAATAATTTTCTGTCCATGTTTCTCTACTTTTCTTTTCCGTGATGAATTGTTTATCTATCTAGATGAGGGGAGGAAGGCCAGCCAAAACAATTTATCGTCCGAGCCACATTCTCCTCATTTTCTCGTCCGAGCCACCTCGAAATCCTCGTCCTTCGCTTATTATGTGTTTTTAAGTTTCTAAATATTGAAGCTAAAGCTATCTTTTAAAAATCAGGCCACGTTAAGGCAAAAAATATGGATAGACTAAAGTGTTGCAATGATTACATCATGTTGAAATCTTCAAAGCCGTCAGAATAATGTCAAACTTTATTTAGGTGAAACTTAAATCTCCTATGCCTCCGTAATGGCTATAACCTTCCTGATACAAAATAGATAGCAAAATATTTGGCATACCTCTGCCTATAATTTTTCCCATGGAACCACCCGAAAAAAATCCGTGGCTTTCGCTAAAATTAACAAAAAAGATAAAAGTTCTATAAACTTGAAATTATTTGCGGCATTATACACCTAGATTATCTGAAAATGCGCGTATGAAAGGTGAATATTTTTCAGAACATTGCACTCAAAAACTTAAAATCTATTGAAAGTATTTCTTTCAATTTACAAAAATTTATATTTCGTTAATGCTCTAACGTGACCGGATCCTTCAAAAATTGTTTTATCTTGGAAAATTGAACACTTTAAAAAGATAATGTTCGAAGGACAAGGATTTCGAGGTGGCTCGGACGAGAAAATGAGGAGAATGTGGCTCGGACTAGAAATTGGTGTGGCTGGCCTTCCTCCCCTCTCTAGATAAAATTTAGATAGATAGATGAATTGTGCTAAACAGTACAGTACTGTACTGTACTTTACTGTACTGTACTGTACTGCACTGTACTGTACTGTACTGTACTGTACTGTACTGTAAACTGTTATTGTGTAGTAAGGGGGGAACTTCGGTCATTGTCCTAGTCCTCGATATGTTGATTGAAACTAGACTTGTGTCATTAATTAACTATTTCATTAATTTTCGTCATTTGGCTGTATTTTTTTAAGGGGGCTCGGCCTTGATTCAAACAGAATAATGTTTGACCTTTTATTTAATCTTTATTCAAGTTGAGCTGAAATGTTTAGATACGGGGTCTGGTTAGAGTTACTGCTGATCCAGGTTCTTGTCCCTAACACATCTTTCATAGGACACTTGGGTACGGTTTTATCATCAATATCATCATTTCATTATTGTAATAATATCATCCATCGCTTTATCAACATTATTATCATTTTCGTTATTGTCATCTTTATTAGTATAGTTATTAACATTATAATCATTTTCATCATAACATCACCGTTATTATTAAAATCATTATCATCATCATCATCAATATCATCATTATCATCATTATCATCATTGTCATCATTATCATCATTATATTATTGTAATAAGTCATGGCCTTCATTAACATTATCCTTATTTTCAAAAGTGTCTTTATTATCTTTATCATTTTCATCATCATTATCATTTTCTTTATTATCATCTTTATTAGGTTAATCATTAATGTTACAGTTAACATGTTTATGATATTAATGATGTAAATAATATTAATTAAGGTGGTATATTAGCTGGTCTTGTATTGGTGAAAGGACCTATTGGAGGAATTTCAAGTGTATTTAGATCATACAGGTAAAAGATTAACAATAAAGAATATAAAATAAGATTTGTACAACCTATCCAATATGTCACTACCTCTGATCAAATTGTGTTTGAACCTGAAATTACGACTGTCCTACTGTTCTACAGTGTTCTAGGTTCCACTGTACACAAAAAAGTAGTGCATTTTCTGAATGAAAGACGACATCTGTTTGATTCTCTCTGTTTAGTATGGTTCCCTATGGTGGTCTCCTTCTCTGCCTCCTGGTCCTGGTTACTCGGTATACGGATTACTTTTTTGGCCACCCTCTGACAGGATGTTTACCTACTAGGTAGGTTATTTGTATATTTGTTAAAAATAATCAGAAGTTTATTTTCACACAATTTACAATATTATTACGTGCATAGATTAATTAACAATATCAGATAGTACACTAGATGTCGTCTTTTTAAGATTTAGGGTTTTTTTGTTTACAAACACCCTGAGGCAGAAGCCCAAAGGAGTTCCACGCAGGCAGCGCATTCTCTCTCTCTGTCTTGTAATTCAACGCTGCTTGCCTCAGGGTTATTGTGAACGAAACCCCATAAATCTTGAAAAGACGACATCTAGTGTCCTATCTGTTAGTGTTAATTAATCTATGATTTATGATTACATAAATTATTTCTAAAATGTTAAACACTAGTGGGTTCAGTAAACAATAGCTGTAGAGTGTAGGGCCAATTTAATTCCTATGGGGGGAGGGAGGAGTGTGGTAGCTGAACTGAGAGTATAGTATTGTGGAGAAATTTTTAGAATTCATGTGAGACATATAAAACGTTTTAATGATGTACAATACTACATACATTGCCGGTCACTCCTTTTAAGAGAGAAAAAAAACTTGTCCCAAGTAGAGCCAGTCAAATATTTGATTAAATTATTATCCTTGACCATGGTTACTTTTTATACTTAACGAAGAGAAAAATGTAAAGGAAAAGAGTATTAAGAGTATAATCATTAATTAATTGGCACTGATTATGTTACTTGCTTAATAAAAAGTTGGTTAAAATATTCCGTAGAGTAGTTAATAATTGTGTTTATTGTTAACTGTTAATCTTTTATCTTTCATATCCTGGTCATCAGGGATCCGATTTAATGAACTTTAGCTAGGGCTAAAGACAGTTCAACCATGTTTGTTGAATCGATGATTCAGTGTTTGTCCATGTTCTATAATAGACGTAAACTCCATATCAGCTAGCTTAAATTCATTAAATTCGGTTTCAGATTAGATTCTTGATCAATTAAAACCCTTTATAATATATGTTCAGGGATCTGTTCTACCAATCTTGGACTCAACCCAGCCTCCAAGGAGCTAAATATATCATTCTCTCCCCTCTTTACCATCTAGGTATTTTCTTTATTAGGAATCATTAAATGTTTGTAATGTTGAATTGTTAGGTAGATTAACTGCCAAGTTGGTGGTGTTTGAGTATTTGAGTTGTGTTGACAAGTGGACTGGAGACGTAATTATATTATATTCACAATGGTACACATGAAAACTTCACCTGAGCCTACTGTAACTTGAAGTAGATCTCGTCTTTTTACATTTTTTAAATTTTCTTCCATATTTTTGTTGCATGTAGATTAGAAAATATTAATAACAGACAACCCCTCATTCAATGAAATTGAAAATCAATATTAATATGTTTTCATTTTAAAATCAGTTTGCAAACATATTTAACAATTACAAGCGTTTTAAAGAATAAATAAGAATATGTCTGTTGATCAGTCAAAGGTTTAACTTGGGCACTGTTGTAAACTGGACGCGCCACTTTACAAACTATAATGGGCCACTTGAAATAATGCCTACAGTCTCTTTTAGTAGCGAAAACTCAATTTCATTTTAGGAACCCTCCATCTTATGATTAACCTGGCTTCTCTTCTGATCAAAGGAAGACGACTTGAGGCAAAGTTTGGAGCTTTTGGATTCATGAGAATTGCGGCACTCTCGCTCGTCAGTACAGCGTTTATGTACTGGGTTATGAACGGGTAAAACATAACAAATAAACATTACAAAAAAATAGGGTTTAGTTTGTTCCAGAGTACTGAATGATTCTAATGATGATTTTTATTCTCTTTTCTCTCTCTTATTCCAACTTAACAATAATCCGCTAATTCCTTCCAAAATGTCGTTCTCTCCCCTTACTAACATTTCTATCCACTAAACAACATATTCTCTATAGTTTTTTATACACGTATTTTATTATATCTTTATCTCTGTTATGAACTTCTATATCTTGCTGATTCTCTTTCCAATACAGTGGTCCCCATAAAACATCTATTCATTACTCAATCTTCACAATTACTCCAACTCCCAATTTACCAACCCTTTTTATCATTCTCACATTCGTTGAATCCCAATCCCAACTTCCTCTTTAGTTGGTATCCATCCCAATTCCCAACCTATTTTATCTATTCCCAATTGGTCCCCGTCCGACCCACTCCAACTTCCTAGTCCTCATCCTAATCCCAATCCCAACATTGGTTAACATTCATTTGGGATTCTTACGGTTTGGGATTTTACTCATAAAATCAAAAAGAAATGTTTTATATTATTGCCGACTTTTTACATCTACATGACAAATGACAATGAGCAAACAAAATATTATGATTNCTTGCTGAAGAAGTTTAAACCCTCTTACATGAACTGAACACAAAAGACAATGAATGAAAAATTGAATTTTAATGTGTTTTTTTTCAAAAATGGGATTTTTTTCGAAAATTGTGCTGATTGTACAGATTTTTTAAAAAAATGTACGGATCTTTAAAAAAATGTACGGATTGGTTTAAAAAAATGTACGGATTGTACGGATTTAAAAAAAAAAATTGTACAGATTGTACGGATTGTTTTTCGAAAATTGTACGGATTGTACGGATTTCATCTGAAAATGTACGGATTTTTGTAAGGATGGGTTCAAAAAAGTTTTGGCCACCCTGTAAGTAAGAATATGTTGAACAGGCGATGGTTTAACTTGGGTACTGTTGTAAATCGGAGGCGCCACTTTACAAACTAGAAAGGGCCACTTGAAATAATGCCTACAGTCTCTTTTAGTCGAAAAACTCAATTTCATTTTAGGAATCCTCCATCTTGTGATTAACCTGGCTTCTCTCCTGATCAAAGGAAGACGACTTGAGGCAAAGTTTGGAACTTTTGGATTCTTGAGAATTGCGGCATTCTCGCTCTTCGGTACAACGTTTATGTACTGGGTTGTGAATAGGTAAAACATAGCAAATAAACATTACAACAAAATAGATTTTAGTTATTTATAATTTATTTATCATTATTATTCTAGGTTGGTTTATGAATTTACTGGATCCTGGGACCATCTTTCAGATTGTGTTGTCGGACTTTCAGGGCCCTTATTCGCATTCAAGATACTAGTTCTTCTACATTCATCCAGGTATTATGGGGCTCTTGTTCACATTCAAGATCATAGTTCTTATGCATTCATCCAGGTATTATGGGGCTCTTGTTCACATTCAAGATCATAGTTCTTATTCATTCTGTCTAGGTTGGACAGTACTGTAGTTTATGAACTAGTAGAACTACTAGTTCTCCTGGAAAAGAATACAATGCTCTACCATATCTCTGGTATTTTGGTGGGCGGCCTAATCTACCTCTGGTGGACTAATGAGAACATTTCTTGGAGGACAGGTCTCTTTAATTATTTAGTTAACAGAACTGTAAGCGTAATTTAAAGTAACCCTCCATGCAAAAATGGCAATGCCAAATTTGGGTCATTCCATGCAAACACACTGTCTGCCTGAGTCTTTTTAGGCAGTGTAGGTATAAGTAATGATTTTAACCCTACCTAAGACAAGTAAACCAGCCCCCCCCCTCTCTCTGTATCTGAGGTGTAGAATTATACCTACACTAAAATATTTTAAAATCAGTAATACACACATGCAATTTTACTGTACAATATTTAACAAAAATACTGAATTGATGGTCTGCTTTTATAATTTTGATCACTTACTTACCTAAAAGTATCAAATATTAAATATTAATCAATGTTCAGCAGAAATACCAACTATTAGATATATTCAGAAATCCAAATTAGCATTACATTATCAGGTCTCCTGATCAATAAAGACAAAGCAATTTAATAAAACTTTTCTAACCACTTCCTTTTGGCAGTAAAAAAATTCAACACAATCAGAATTGATTCACATCCTCAAACGGAGGCTGAAAATGAAGAAATACAATTACAATACAATTAGGAGAATTTTTGCGAGTCACTCTTATTGTATCTTATGTTTTAAGTCTTATGACCAGTTAATAATATTTAAAAACAAATAAGTTAAAGCTATTTGAAATATAGAGGCCGTCCTTGAGATATCAGGAACTTTCTGTAGCCCTAACTCCGGCCTCGGAGGTCTCAGAACGCTTATCTTTGGGTTCGGGGATTTCAGCAAAATCCGTGACATGCCGTCCATCAGGTGGCTGACTTGACAAGGAATGACCCTTTCACAACTTGAAACCTTTTTCTGATATAGAAGATATCGTCGTTTTTCTAGGTTTATAAGTGTTTAATTCTAATAATTCCTAAAATTTTTCCTGCAGTGGAAATGCGCAAGTCACTTTTACAGAGAAACCACAATTAAAAATAATCAGTTTTCAAAATTATATAATAAAAATATTAATTAAAACTTCTTTTTGCACTCTGGTTTGGTTGTGCCTGGAGCATATTTAACGGAAAAGTATCCAACCCCTCTAGCTGAGTCCCTGAAGAACGTCTCCTGTATAACAAAGAACTGGGAGCAGTTGTGGAAACTAGAAAATGAAATGTTGAATAGGTTTGTTTGTGTTCATCCTGTGCTGACTGAAGTAATTAATTTTCTAACTCGGGAAGCTGTTAGTAATTCCTCATTCAACTATCTTCTCATAGATCCTAGAAAAAGTCAAAACCTTTCCTCCAAGGTTATCAGCTGGGGTGACTAAGATCTCCGGAAAACCTTCATTGATTCAATATTCTATATTGTACATTGGTAAAGAATCCCGTTCCAGACCTTTCCAGCACCTGTGTGATACGTTCAAACAAAACGGTCCCAGAAGAAAAGTTCCAAGGTTGAACGTATCCTAGAAATTTGGGATGCAGGTTTCGGAGTAGTTTCTCTCCAGGTCTTCAATAACTGTATTGCTGTAGAGGGGGTTACTAGAGAAGCTGCTATGAAAGATGCTATAGGATTAGATAACCTGAGTGATGTTTAGACCTGGATATTATTATGGTCCTGCGGTAACCTGGGAGAAGAATAATCAATTGCAACTAGGAACCTTCCTGCTATACAAAGCGTTCAAGATATTTCTACATGAGTAGAACAACAGATTCGTTTAGTAGATCTGAAAACAAAATAAGTTGTACAAAATTCATTATACTAAGCTTTGCTTAGTATAATGCAACGGTGAGCAAAAGTTAGATAACCTGAGTGTTTAATTGAATGGACACCGGCTAACCAGGCACAGAGATATATTCTTTTTGAATTACATCATACTAATGTAGTTTAAGAGACATCTTGAACCAATAGGTGGGCTGAAGTAAGCAGTCAAAGGTAGATGGGGTCACTCCGGCTCTTGCTTCCTCTACTAGTGAATACCAGTATTACTCATTGCACATGTCATGCCAAGTTATTAATCCAGAAATTGCCTAATAAGGCTAGATGGATTGGTGGGACAGGTAGATACCTGGGAAGCATTCATGTTTTCAGGCAGTCATAATGAATAAATAAATACTTGATCAGACAAAGCTTTTAACAGAACCGTTGACCAATTTGAACAGGGCATTTCCATCGTTGTATAGAGGGTCGTACTTGAAATAACAGTCTGTTTAAACCAGAACAATAGATATTCTGAATCCTAATTTTGGATTGTACAATTTCAGAAAATTATGGAAGCTGGAAAAGTTTATATTTATGCTGGATCAAAATAGCTGAAATTTATTTCAGGAACCAATTGGTGCCCGGCAGGGGGGGGGGGG